GAAGGCTGCGGGGAGACCTCAGAGCAGCTGCCAGGGCCTGGAGGGGCTGCGAGAGAGCTGGAGAGGGGCTGTGACAAGGGCGTGAAGTGATGGGACAAGGGGTGATGGCTTCAAGCTGAAAGAGGGGAGATTTAGACTGGATACAAGGAAGAAATTTTTTTACCATGAGGGTGGTGAAACCGTGGCATGGGTTGCCCAGAGAGATGGTGGAGGCCCCATCACTGGAACCATTCCAGGCCAGGTTGGACGGGGCTCTGAGCACCCTGATGCAGTTGCAGATGTCCCTGCTCGCTGCTGGGGGCTGGGATAGATGGCCTCTGAAGGTCCCTTCCAACACAGACCATTCTGTGGTTGTATGTTTAAGTGTGCTTTTCTGTCAGATAGGCACAAGTGTAGCCAAAAATCTAACTGCATCCAGCTCCATAGATGCAGTCTCTTCCAAAAACATAATGAAAATGAATTTTCAGAAGTAAATATTACTTAACCTGTCACTTTACAGAAAGAAATTGTTGTATGTTTAAGTGTGCTTTTCTGTCAGATAGGCACAAGTGTAGCCAAAAATCTAACTGCATCCAGCTCCATAGATGCAGTCTCTTCCAAAAACATAATGAAAATGAATTTTCAGAAGTAAATATTACTTAACCTGTCACTTTACAGAAAGAAATTATGATCTAGCAACTTCTCGCATTGAAATGCGTTTAGTAGTCCTATATTTGAATGATTGCTAATTTTTTCTAAGTATGCTATGATTTCTTTTGTGCAGCTTCTGAATAAAAACTTTAAAAAGTAACATACCAGCAAATAACTGTCACAAAAATATGGTAGATTTGTACAATTACCTTCATAAATTCTGTTGGAGTCTCTGTGCTTACATGTAGAAGCAGTCAGTCACGTAGTTAACTGACTGAAAGCTGGAGTGTCTGTGCTTGATACTGACTTTGAAATGTCCTTGGTGTAAAATTCCACGTGTGCTTATTTTTCCATTAGAAAATACACAGCTATAGACTCACACGAGCAGCGCCAGAGTTACAAGGATGACTTCGATGCAGAGTACGATGAGTACAGGAGACTGCACGCTCGGATGGAGGGTATCACCAGGAAATTCATGAAGTTTGATGCACAATGGAAGCTTCTTTCTCCAGGGTCCAAAGAATACCAGGTAAAGAAGGATAAAACTGTGAGGATTGTGTTTCATCTCTTCCCGAAGTCCACATTTTCAGCACAGGCAAGACTCTTCAGCATATGTATCTATTGATTTACACTGGCGTGGTTTTAAAAGACTTGCCACATTCAGTGTCTGAGACTGAGTAACCGGTCACGTAGCTGGAGGTACCAGCCTGGCTCGGGCTTTGGTGACGGCCTCAGCAACCCAGCGAGGTGAGGGCTGCTATCACACCCATACGGAGGAGATCGGGAGTGCGTGGAAACCGGCAGCCGTAATTCCAGAGCTTTCCCAACCCTCTGTTTCCCGTGATTTTATACACTTAACTAAACCTGCAGCCATAACCTACTCGTCTTCTGGGTGGCTGATCCTGGCTAGGATTTTAGCAGAGTGTTAAAACCCTGATATTCTGGCTTTCCAGCCTGGATATCTCCAGTTTGGACATACACATTCCAAATGTTCAGTATCAGAATTCTTTAATTCTCTGTGCATGCTGAGGATTTTTCATTGCTTTTATTTAGTTTTTGGTCAGAGTACAAATGTATTTGTGAACAGGGATATTTTAAAATCCCTCATACTGCTCAGCCAGACAAAGGGAAACCTTGCAGAATTTGCATACGTGCTCAGACCTGGCATGGGTTAGCTCTGATTTTTGCAGCTTGACAAAACCTTGCGAAAAGTTGTTCAGCCCTCAGAACTCCACCTGTCTGAGCTGTCTGTGAACGCCCGGCAGCATGAGTGACTTCTCAAAGGGAATCTTCAAGCACGTGCTCCTGTAGTTGCCTGAATACAGGTTTAGTTGCAGATCCCGGGTGAAATGGGGGGTTGTGCGTTTATTTTTGTAACGCAGGAGAGTGGTGTGGCTTGTAGATAAAAGAAAGTATCTTGCCTAAAACTGAGTGTAGTTTCAGTGTTTTACATAAACTTGCATTTTCTGGTAGTAGTGAAATGTTCTTCATGTTGTCTTCATGCTTTTTTTTCTTGGAGGTCCTTCATGAGGAAGTCTTAGAAGAGTATCGAAAGATAAAACAGGTATGTGTAACACCAGATTTGTGGGAGGTAGTAATCACTGAGGCTGCCTCAAGAATATTTTTAAACAAAGGACGCGAAATACCAAACTCTGCAGAAGAGTTTTCATGCCCTAATTTTCCTTTTATCTTATCTTTACAGTCTAGTCCCAACTACTATGAAGAGAAGTATAGATGCGAGTATCTGCACAACAAGCTGTCTCATATTAAGAGACTAATCGAGGAGTTTGACCAACGGCAAGCGGAGTCGTGGCACTAGTCTCCTCCTTCGTCCGCAACACGTGAATGAACTGAAGCTTATTTATTTAAAACTTAAGATTAGTTGCTCTAAGAATTAGAGCAATTACAATTAAAAATTAGAATTACAATTTAAATTAGTATCCAACTTTTGCATTACAGAAGATTCAGTATTAGCAGAGTTAACTACTTTGGTTGTTGTTGATGTTGCTTATATGCATATTTGAAGCTGCTTTTTCTGGTCCTTTCTTTTCTTCAAGACTTATGTTTGTCCGTTTAAGTAGTTTTATCAGTAGGTGCTGGAGACCCGGTACCTTTACTATGAAGTCGTGCACATTTTAAGAAAACATTGTAGCAAGTGAAATCCATTTGGATAAATGTAAGGCTGTTTTCTGACCTTTCTTGTTAATGCAAACTCTTTGCCTTAAATGGTAGAAGGTTTAGAAATTTGCACAAAATTGAAAAAAAAAACCAACAACATTGTTTTGGAGGGTTAAAGAGGCGTGTATATGTGCTGTATACAGCCTGTTTTGTGACAACAGAAACTCACCCCTGCAACTTAAACCCCCCATTGCAATGGTTGCCTTAAGGTGTTTGCTTGTGTGTGTTTAGTGTAGCTAGATGATTAGCTACACTGCTTCCCACTGTGCTGAAGCGCCTGGGAAGCACTATGTGGCCTACCGGTGTCTGGATGTGTGTGCCTGTACTGCGTGTGTGTGTGTGTGCAAGAGTGTGTGGGTGAGAGCACGCGTGATGGGGAAAAAGAGAAAACGAAAAAAAAAGCTGCTGCTCTTAAGTAGGCCAAACGCTCAGGTTAACTGACGAGTGTTCCTGTAGGTTTTTCCTACAAAATTGCTACTTCTATTGTGGAAGACGAGAGCATTTCCATTTCAATAGTTTGTCAGCTTTAATAATATTGGGGAAATTGATACTTTACAGAAGTGAAACAGATATATAGTTTTTGGGCAAGATTATAAAATTATACATGTAGGTTACCTATTTATATACTACTATAAAATATTTTTTGAAGAGATATGCAAAGAAGCTATTACCTACATGAAATATATATTTAAAGATTTTCGTCCTGGGTGCCAGGAATATAACAAAGAACAGATGTGTTTAACTATAAAATACTGTGATCACCAAACAGCACAAACTTTCATTTCATGCAGTTTTTTTGTTTACTTTGATGTAAACCATTGCTTACTTTATCATATGAAAACACAGGTTATTTGGTCAAAATTCAGCAAAATCTTTGTGTGTCTTACTGTGTTTGTCTTTTCGAAGTGCTGCCAATTGAAAAGGGAAGCATGATGTTTACATACCTGATTTTGGAACATTTGCCAAAATGTTGAGACTATTGCTAACAGACTTTATCTCCAGCATCAAGAAAACCTGTCGGGTGTCACTGTAAACCAGAAAATGTTTGATTGCCAGAAAACATGCACTCGGGTAAATGGGAGCAATGGAGTTTTTGCCTTAAATTTGTGGGTTCAGAGGCGTCACATTCCTGAAGCTGGAAGGGCAGGCAAGGTGCATCCCTTTCTGCTGCACGACAGTGCTGTTTGTGTTACCTGCCGGAGACCAGGCTGGCTTTGGGTCCCTTGGATTGGTACAGTAGTTTTCAAGTCCGCATTTCAAGTGACAAAATGAAGAGAAAACTCGCTTCCCATGTAAGAGCTGCATTCATCTGGGTTTAACGACTGAGTCTGACCCTCAGCGTACACACACAGAATAAACGCAGGGGCTGTGAAATTCACTGCAGTTCTGCTGCAGCTGCTCGGGGAGGTTAGCCTTCAACCTAGAAACACTTTGGGACTGTTTGGAGTGAAATCATGTGAAGTTCCTGAGGCTGAGACCGGTTCCGGCAGTTCCGTGCTCCTTATCTAGACTGCGTGCCTGAATCTGACGTTGACTGCCGCTACGGACACGCAGTGCTGCTGCAGCCTCGAGGTGTGGCCATCATTCATAGCGCTGTCACTGTCTCATTGAGACCCAGGGCAGTTCATGGATATTTTTCCCCTCCCACCTTTTACCGTTGTCCTGTATTCACGTGCGTTTTCTGGTTTACAGGCTGCGTCTGTGTTGCAGCTGTAGGTTAGGGCTCCTGAAGAGGTCCAGCACTGCCCATCGTCACCAGACCTGACAAGCTACTGTAAAGGCCTTAATTGAAGGTTTTGCCCATTTGTGTTGAGCATTTCTGAAGCAGTGTGAGTATACCCAGCGGCCTGTGTATTGCGCAATAGTGCTGTAAATCCAGGTCTCTCTCGTTTCCCTGGAGCTGGCATTCCTGTTCAGCGAACGTGGAGAGCCTGTTGAAGCGGGGCCTCCGACTGCGTTGCTGCCTTTCTGGTAAAACTGGCCGGCTCACCCAGAGAAGCAGACGTCGCCCGTGGTGGCATCTTGGCTGGGCTTACACTGCTACAGATCTGAAGCGATCGTTTGATGTAGAGAAGGGGCAACTGGGCACATCTCCTTCATGGAAACTGTGAATCTGAGTACAGCTAATAAAAAATATGTGGTCAAACGGGAGGCAATAGTCCTTTCCAGTTGGGTGAAAAAAACACGGTCTAGAAGGATTGGTTTCTGACCTTGCTGGGATTTGAGGGAGAAAAACTGCCCAAAGTAATTTCATTTTTTTTAAAATTAGTGGATATGCTCTAAGCTGTCACTTTAAGCAGCTCACTGGACTGCTTTTAAGTCTTCAGTTCACCCTGCTAGTTTTAAAAAAAAATAATACTGAAATGTTTTGGAAGTGTCTTGTAAAACACACAGACGAGTGTTTGAGGCGAGTAACTTCAGCAGGTTTTAAACAGAAATTTGGTTAAAGTGTTGATGTTTTAATTTTGCTTATTTGTTAGCTCTCTTAAAATAGTAATGTTACAACCGGTCTTTCTAGATCCGTAGGTGTTGATTTGTGTGAAGACCTCTGGCTGCTTTGAAGTATAGCTCTTCTCGTAAGTTGACTGTCATTTGTTTCTGTACCTGGTGGGGGAGGGATGTGGCCAGCAATTCCGTAACCTTTTGGGGAAGGGTATGCAACTGATGGAGGGAGAACAACATCTGGGATCATGAAGGCTTCAAGCAGGGCTGCAAATCCCCCTTTCTGACTTTGAGAGTACTTTACAACTTTTTCAATTATTTCCATACAAACTGTGTCAAGACTCTGTACATGAAATGTCCTGGGGCGTTTTGTTAATGAACACCTGAGCCATTGTTGCCCCTTTGTTCTACATCAATTTAAGTTCAATAAAATGTTAACTTTGCAGCCCTGAGACTTCAGTCTTTCCTCGTCTGGGGGCAGGGGGTTCCCCCGACGTCCCTGCGAGGAAGCCGTGCGATGCAGGCTGCGTTACGGGGGAGCGCGGGCTGCGTTCTGCGGGCGTGCAAGGGGCTCGTCGGCGCTGCGTCCCCTCGCTGCGACGTCCTGGGGCTGCTT